TGGCACGTGAGGGGGTTTCTCAATAATTCGATATATTATGCCGTGTGAATCAGGCTCTAGAATGTTGGAAGGGACCTCTTTAACGATGACAGTGACCTCTTGAACGGTGGGAAGGGACTCTTGAGGGATGATAGGGGCCTCTTGAACGATAGGGGAGGCCTCTTGAACGATGACAGGTGATTCGGGTTTTTTCTTATGGATTCTTCGCACTATTAGGGTGAACGGAGACTTAATGGCACGTGCACGTCGTCTGATGCGTGAACTCTGTCTTGCAAGAAAAACCCGACGTAGAGCATCCACCTTAGCGGGCCGCTAAAAATAAATTAATACATAAATCAGTAAATAAACATATATGATATTAAACAGTGAAAACAAAGACAAATATATTTCAAACTTGCACGGTATTCACCCAAGTCATTATTCTATCATTGTTCACAAAATGCATCAGATAACATTCCAGAACTAATCACTTATATAAACATTTAAAAGGATAACATATAGGTTTAGTGCAGGTTCAATGACAACATAAAGAGTAGTAGTTTATTCTTGAAACTTAAATTTTCAACACTGTGAAGTTAGTATTTGTCTTTGTCTTTTGGTTGAAGTAATGCAATTCATTCAAGTTTCAATTTGCAGAAGAAGAATAGAATCTGAAACTTAAAATCGTAACACGAATGACTATCGCAACGCGAAAATGACTATCGCAACGCAAAAATGACTATCTCAACGAGAGAATCGCAATGCGATTTTCATTTCGCATTGCGATTCTTTCGTTGCGATAGTCAAATTCGCGTTGCGATAGTCATTTTCGCGTTGCGAAAGTAAACTATTCTTCTTCTGCAAATTGAAACTTGAATGGATTGCATTACTTCAACCAAAAGACAACCAAAAATAAATACTAACTTCACAGGGTTAAAGAATAAACAGTTTAGTAGTATTGACAGCAACCGAATAAATTTACTAAGCAATCTAAGTGAAATGGTTAATCTAAGTGAAATGGTTAATCTAAGTGAAATTACGAGTAAATTTATCATCAAGTTAAATATGAAAAATATTAAACTTACCTCGTTGTGTAGAGTATGAACCTCATTCTACAATGATGCTACCATCTCACGTAGAGCGGCTACCTCACCACGTAAAGTAGACACCTCAACACGCCATGCACCATTATCATCGCGTAAAGTACCGACCTCCTCACGCAAGGCATTGACCTCATCACGTAACTCCCCTAACTCATCCCGTGTAGGTGGAAAACAGAGAGATAAACATCGTGGCATCTTTGCCGGTCGCCTATCATGAGGTGATGGTGGAGAAGAGGCTCGTTGATGTGACAGAATAGGTGATGGCTCTCGTTGTGGAGGTGTATAGTCGGGTCGATCAGGTGATGGCTCTGGGTGAGGTGATGGCTCTCGAAGTGGAGGCTGCTCATCATCCGTGCCATCAAAAAAACGCTTACTAGCTTGCCACCAATCCGTGGCAAGCTCAGCTTCCGTGGGTGTCAGCCTCTGTAATGGAGTGTTGGACTCCTAACAATATAAAAGCTCAAACAAAGTTAAACGTGTGCTAGTAATAACTTGTTTATAAACATATGGTAGTATTTGTGTTAACTTACATTATTTATTGTCGTATACGGTAGTAAATCTTCCCATTGCTGCAAGGTCCGTTTCCTCTTCTAGGAAATAGCCCTAGGAATATCATTATAAGTTTTTAATGCATATGTCTGCATGGGGGGAAAGACCTCAAATATCCAAATCTACAAACAATATAATAACAAACATTAGTAATTGTTAAATAATAATTAATTATAATTTTAGAAACATTATATAAAAATTCTTACCTTAAAGGCCCAAATAAAGCCTGACAAAGTGTATTTGGAACCATCGCCACGCAAACTTTTTCGATCATCAAAGGCAGACGACAACTTATTCCATGTAGCTTTCCATAGATACGAACCCCACGGAAACAGGTTCCATGCATTTAGGTCCTCTACCAATTTAATTAGATCATTAGGAATAGGTTGTCTGGCCTCTCTGCCTAAAAAGCCGGCATGCAAAAGTATTAGAAGGCATACTCGGACAACATCGACGTCATCCATCCGAGTAAAACCATCTTTCTTATTCAATAATCTCGTCAAGTCTTCCACGTGTAAATTCGGCTTCACCATTGATAGCTCAGGAAAAACCCGGGATAACCATGATAGGCGGGTAATATGTCTAGTGTACCGATCTACATCATCGTGTCTGAAGCGTAGATCGGTGATTAAGCAAAACTCCTCCCGCCCAAAACACGTATACGCCGGTGGAAAATCAAACCATATCTCTTCATCACGACGTTGTATAGTCTCTGGTAGATCGCTAGTCATGGTTTGAAGAAACAGATGGGTCAACATAGCATCTCCACCCGGATGTTGTACTTTCAGCCATGTCCCGAAGCAAGTATCCTCAAATATTTTTCTTAGTGAATGTGAAAGCTTCGACGTAATTGTTTTGGCCAGGCTTAATTTATTTCTTAAGGTCAATTGAGCCGAATAAAAGTTCTACAAAAACAATAAACATACCAAGTTAGATATACCAAAAACTACACTGTGAAGATATACCAAGAACAATAAACATAAAGAGTAGTAGTTTATTCTTCAAACTTAAATTTGCAACACTGTGAATTTAGTATTTGTCTTTGTTTTTTTGTTGAAGTAATGCAATTCATTCAAGTTTCAATTTGCAGAAGAAGAATAGTTTCTGAAACTTAAAATCGCAACACGAAAATGAAAATCGCAACACGAAAATGACTATCGCAACGCGAATTTGACTATCGCAACGCGAAATGAAAATCGCAACGCGAAACTAAAATCACATTGTGATTCTATCGTTGCGATTTTTATTTCACGTTGCGATTCTCGGTTTCAAATACTAAAATTGAAACTTGAATGGATTGCATTACTTCAACCAAAAGACAAAACAAAGACAAATACTAAATTCACAGGGTTTAAAGACTAAACAGTTTAGCAGTATTGGCAGCAATCGAATGAATTTAATAAGCAATCTAAATGAAATGGTTAATCTATTATTGAAATTACCAGTAAACTTATCATCAATTTCAATATGAAAAACCTAATAATAATGCAAAAATTTCAAAATAAAAAATAATTAAATAAACTAACCCTTGGTGGTTGATTTGGTTGATTTTCCATTTCTGACCGTGAATGATTGTGAGGGTGGCTCTGAGAGATGGAGATAGACGGATTTCGCTGGAGATGGGGACTGATTTCGTCAGAGATGGGGACGAATGTCACCTTAGAGAGTGAGAGATAGAGATGGGACTAAGGTGTGATTTAGGGTATTAGGTTATGAGTTGCGATTACGGGATATACTGTAGACAGTTCAGTGTTTCGATATATTAATATTCGTGTTTGGAATTTGAAAAAAATACGCGTTGCGATAATAATGGCGCTTTGAAAATCGCATTGCGATAGTCAGCATCGCGTTGCGACAGTCAGAATCGCGTTGCGACAGTCAGAATCGCGTTGCGATAGTCAGAATCTCGTTACGACAGTCAGAATCGCGTTGCGATAGTCATACTCGCATTGCGATTTACATATTCTCATTGCGATAGTCGGAAAATCACAACGCAAATTTGGAAAATCACAATGCGATAGTCAGAATCGCGTTGCGAATCTGGAAACTGATTTGCGATACCGGAGATCGCGTTGCGAATTATCGATCGCATTGCGATTTAGTTGGTCATTTTGGCAAATCCAAAAAAAGTTGGTTAAAATCGTATATTATAAGGCATTTTTTGTCACTGAGGTTATTTTCTCTAAAAATAAATATCTAATTCGTAATTAACTTATTAAAATTTCAGTGTTTAATCATGCTATTTTACATATTTATTAATTTAGTGACTAAATTAAAATTATATTAAATTCATATATTAAATTAAAACATGTTGGTCGGGACTAAAATATTATTTAACAAAATTATAATGGTTATTTCGGTTATTTTATCTAAAATATATATAAGTAAATCAGTGGCTAAATTATAATGAATAAAAATTAATAGACCGAATTATAATATATATATATATATATATATAAACATGCTATAAGGATCAAATTCCAAGTTTTCAAGGTTACAGTGGCTGCGGGAATAGTTTAGCCATGCACGAAATTACACAAAGGCCCTCACCAAAACTACATCGTTTTGGTGAGGGTATTTATACCCCATTATAACCGGCCCTTCAGGCCAATTCCTCATTTCTCTCATTTCTCTCTAAACTGAGAGAGTTTTAAAATCTCTCGCTTCTCTCTAAAATTGAGAGAGAGAGAGAGAGAGCACTGCCCGACAGCCTTGTGCCGCCGCCAACCTTACCGCCGGCCACCAGACCAAAATGTAGATCGGACTGTCCTAATGACGGTTTCAGTTTCCTTTTCCCTTAAATGGCTCTCGATCGGAGCAAATCTAGGAAAATACCTTCGGTTTTCGAAAGTTTTTGGTGACGCGTGGAGGCTCATATAAACTCCGGTAATGGTATGGCTTTAGGAATGGCAACGGGTCGGGTTCGGGGCGGGTTTTGCTCGCCCCGTCCCCGAACCCGAAATGAATCCCCATCCCCGACTCCGACCCGATCCCTAACGGGTGTTTTATCGGGGCGCCTCGTCGGGGATTTTTTTTGCCCCGTCCCCGAACCCAACCCGAAATATTATACCCGAACCCGAAAATATTTTATATATAATTAATATAAAAAATATAAAATATTATATATATAATTAATATAAAAAATATAAAATATTATATATATATATATATAATCGGGGCGGGTCAGGACGGGGATACCTTGCCCTGAACTCGAACCCGACCCGAACAAATCCCCGAAAAATATCCCCGAACCCGAACCCGACCCGATATCATTCAACCCGACCCGACCCGAACTTAACCGGGTTTTGGGTTTCCCCGTCGGGTTCGGGTCATATTGCCATCCCTACATGGCTTCCTCGGTAAGTATCTCTCCGTCTTTTCCTGGTTATTTTGGTGTTTTAGTGGTTGCTGGGTTGCTCATTTTCCTCTGGTTTTTCTTTGCAGGTTCGGTTGATGGCTTTATAGCCATCACCGGCGCTCATCTCGGACCGGATAATAGAGTGGCAGTTTGGTGAGTCACCAAACTTTAGTGGTGACTCACAGTGGCCTTTAATGTGGACAGTTGGTTTTGAATCTTCTGGAGGCTACCGTCTTGCAAATACTCCGGGGGCCCGGTAAATGACTGTGTTCCATCGGTATCACTTGCGTCATCTGAACTCGGGGATACAAAAGAAGCAGATTCTTCTTCAAAGTTCTTATAGCTTGTTGGATGACTTCCATCCTTCATCTTCGCCCAACGACAAGGCGCTTGGTAATTTCCGCAAACAATCTTTAGCTCATCATACATCTCGATCGGTTTTCTTCGGAACCCTTTTGCATCAGGATGTGCCTGCTCAACAACAGTTAATGTCAAGTAATTTTAAGTACGTATATCGAAACAAGATAAACGAAACAAGGGGAACAAGTGTAGAACACACTGACCGCCACATAGCTCTCCCAGAGATCTTCATTGTCACATTCGATCATTTTCGTATTTGGATTCCACCAAAATCCATCTTGACTTAGCATATCTCTCATTACCTTGTACCTTTTCTTGATTGTCTTAAGACGATTCACGACTTTTTGATTGTTCAAGTTCAAATGAAAACGAGAATTCACAGCAATACAAGCAGCGGTATATGCCTTTTCGTTGAAACATTTGTCAATCTTATTGCCGTTTTTAGCCTGAATGGCCAGAGCTTCAATAAGACACTTGTCCATTGCAACAGACCAAACTACATTTCTTCCTTTATGCTTCATCTCACCCCTTCTCGGCGCCGGCATGGAATAGTGGTCCATTCCTAACGCAGGAAAAACAACATAACCGCGTCATAATGTTATGGTGGAATATAAAAATTGCTCAACAGAAACTAAATATAGGTAAAATCAACAACACGATGCCACAGTCATCTAAGCGAATAAGAAAAAGCGATGATCATTTAAACACATTTTGAACAGAGTTAGAGAATAAGATATATATGTAGATTTGTTTTGTTCTGATACAGGACAGCACAGCGCACAACAAAGACCTGTCCCATTATGTTCCGATCATATCAATATATAAAACAGCAGCAATGACCTGAACAAATGGCACAATGGCATATCGGCAAACATTAATTTGTAAATATAGCAACTGCTATGCCCCAAAAGAGCAATTCATGCAAACCTCGCATCCTAGTCTATACTTATTCAGATGAAAGAAAAACTAAGAAGAAAAACGCAAATTTATAAGCAATTCATCACACAACTTAGGTCAGTCAGGCATAAAAAGGCAAAGCATAACTGTGGCTTGGATCAAATGATAAAGACAAGCAGTGTCATCCTTTACAAATTGGGTGCATATAGCATTGGAAACCATGAATAAGCAGAGGGGCTTGGACCCAATCACAGGTCTGGACATGGAATTTAAACAAAAAACTGAACGCGAGATAAATAAGATGTGGTTGGAATTTGAACAAAAAAAAATGAATACAAGATCAAGCAAGCAATCTTAATTAAACATATTTGTTCTTAAGATAACTAAAACGAGAAAAAATGATAACAGAAAACCTCTACAATCATACTTCATGAAAGAGATAAGATAAGGCTAGAATTTCTCCATTCAAATCCAATAAACTGAAAGACCACAGATGAAGCTCAAATCAATCACTTGACCACTTCTAATATATATCATTTGAAAAAACAACAGATTGGAAGGGAGGGGAAAAGGACCAAATTCTTCCTTTTAATGCATATGCAGAAACATTTCTCTTTCCACAAGATAGTCAACTATCGATCATTGCTATGACCAGATGCTCTCTCTATTACCTCACTTCAACATTGCTTAACCCTCCATCTTTGATTACTAAAATCATGGTGGTAAAAGTCAAGGTTAAGGGGTTGAGGGTTTGCAGTAGATGATGAAAGGAGTTGGAACAAGCTGGAGGGAGTTTCTAACCAATCTTTTCCCTGCCCAAACTCCGAAAATATATACACAAGTAAGATCCAAAGCTGTTGGCCATAATAATCTCCAACAAAACAGTGCATCTCATCAAAATACCGCTTGTCAAAACTGCAGAACACCTTTAAGACTATTGTAATTACATGTTTTACGGGACTAGATAACTTCCTTTTTGATAAAATTAAGGTACCCCATATCACAATACAGTAAGAAAATCGAAACCAAAATGTTAAAATATTTTAGGCTTAAACATTCTGCTTTGTTTACATGAAAAACGGTACAAGGCAACAACCCTTGGACTGTACAGCATCTATGCTCCAAATCAGTAAATGCTTGGTACATATAAGCGAGCCTAATTACACCAAAACATACTTCCTAAGATTCAGAAGCTAAAATAAAAACAAAATATACAGAGATACAAATAGACATACACTGTACACACAACAATAGAACTCAATTCAATCTGTAACAGGTTTAGGAAGAACACTAAACCATGATCAATGCAAGAAGCACTTCACAGATAGCCAATGATTTTGGATCGTATCCAGCAATCAATACCAGCACACAGTGTTGAGATCATACTATAATCTTAAAAAATAAAATAAAAAATAAAAAAGCTACGGAGGGAAAACGAAAGAGGAAGAAGACACTAAATAGAAGTAAGAAATTGAGTAACTTGAGAACGCTTCGAAACCAAAGCTCCATCATTCTTTTAAAGCAATGTCATGGATGTTATTCAACACTAGTTTTGCAGAAAATAAGAACTACCGAGAAGATCAATCATACATTTTCCCTAGACCAAGAAGTTGGCCATACCAAAGTATTCATGAAAATATACAATTAAAATCCCAATGTTCGGCCAGACATCCATACTTGAGCTTTACTAACTAGTTAAAACTAACAACCCCATCAATATCTAAGTTTTCAACATGAAATCAAAATTTTGGCATTGATCTACAGTTAACTAATTACTAAATTACTCCAAAAGAGTCCTATGAGACTAACCCAAGCCTCTGCTTCTTCACTAAAATTTATCAAAATAAAACAAACCAACTTCTTCTCTCATTAAAATTAAACCAACAAGTTAAAAACACAAAATAATCCACCAAAAAACTCAAAAAAAATCATATCATTCAGTGGTTTGCAGCTCATATAATCAATCAAATAAACAAATAAAAGAGATGAAGAGTGAGAGCAAAAGAAAGAAACCAGGGAATTGAGATTAAGGGTAAAGGCAACAATCTATTGACAGTGAGAAGCCTGATCTGATCGCGGAGTGAGGTGAAAAACGAAGTCCTTAGAAGATACTGTACGCGTTAAGTCAATGTGAGATTGCATTAGTGTTAGGGTTTTCTTTTTTACTTTTGCTGTTGTTTTTCTTTTCTTTCATTATTTTTAATTACTCTCGAAGGGAAAAAAATTAAAAAATAAAGGGGAAAGGGGTCAAAATTTTCTCGAGTTGTAGGCACTTTCTCGAATACCAAACGCGTGTTGAGAAAAGTTTCAGTAATTCCAAATGTTTTTGCTAAAGTGAAATGTGAAATTATCGGAAGAATATGAAGGTCCTACCTCGAGCTTCCACGTCATGTGGGATTGATTTTGAATATTTTTAATTTATTTTAGGTTTGAATTAAATGGTTAAAAAATTAAACGCTTAGGGGCTGTTTGTTTGCCTCTTAATGGAACCATCAGTGCGTTTGTTTCGCACTTCTGAATTATTCAATGCTGACTGATTCAGCAAAACAGTGTTGAATGATTTAGCACAGAAGTACATTCTGAATGATTCAAAGACATTATCAAACAGCATGTCACATTCAGAGCTAATTCATACAGAGCCTCTGAATCATTAAGCATTTGAACCATTCAGCGCTGAATGTTGAACCATTGAACATTCAGCGCGTTTGTTTCGCACTTCTGAATGATTCAGTGCTGAATGATTCAGTGCTGAATGATTCAACACAGAAGTACATTCTGAATGATTTAAAGTCATTATCAAATAGTATGTCACATTCATAGCTAATTCATACAGAGCCTCCGAATCATTTAGCATTTGAACCATTCAGCGCTGAATGCTGAACCGTTCAACATTCAGCGCGTTTGTTTCGCACTTCTAAATGATTAAGTGCTGACTGATTCAACAAAATAGTGCTGAATGATTCAACACAGAAGTACATTCTGAATGATTCAGAGCCATTATCAAACAGCATGTCACATTCAGAGCTAATTCATACAGAGCTTATGAATCATTCATCGCTTTACTCAATGAACTTTTCTTTCTCTCCTATTTCACTTATCATATTTTTAATTTTTCAATTTGTTCACTATATTTTAGACATTGAACTTTTTTGTCACTCAACACTTTACTCAATAATGGGATGCTTATGTAGCTTATTTTAATAACAAAACATGACACACATTTACTCACTAAATTTTATTTTCTTTCCTATTTCACTCATTGTACTTTTAATTTTTCAATTATAATTTAGCAACGTCATAACACCGTTAGAAATTTAAAGGTCGAGTGACAAAAAAAGTTTAATGTCTAAAGACTAGTGAGCAAATTGAAAAATTGAAAGTATGATGAGTTAAATAGGAAAAAGATTAAAGTTCAATGAATAAGCATGTAATTTATCCTAAAATCTATTACAAGTATTTGTATTATATCTAAAAGCTTATTTCAGTCTATCTATTATAAAAGGACACATTCTAATCTTTATACATTTGAAATTGAAAAAGTTAACATTTTCGTCCAAAACGTTAAAATTATTGTTAATTAATTAAATATTTTGGTTTAAATATTCTCTTAGATCCCTTCTAATTTCTAACTCAACAAATTAATCCCTCTTAAAATATATATATATATACATGTATGTGGATTTTTACATAAAACTTTTAAATATTCATAAATTTTAACTATAAAATTAATTTATATTTAACTTTAAACTTTGTTGGCTTCACTTACAAAAATAATACAGCTATAAGCTATAAGCTAAAATATAAATATTAATTTATTTATACAATCATATCAAGAAGTAATACATAAAGCGAACATTCCGTGTAATCAAAATACGACTCGACTTAAAAAACTAATTTTTTTATTTGGCTCTACTAAAATAATACGACTCAAATTGACTTTGAGTTGTAATTTCATAAACTCGACTCGAATTGATTTTGAGCTGTAATTTCATAAATTCGACTCGACTAGAAAATATTGGATTAAAATCCATAATTATGAGCACATATTTATCATGTATATTGTTATCATAAAATATGACATAAATTAAGTGACCAATTATACTATAAAGTCATAAGGTATTAAAAGTGTTATGGAAATAAAAGTGTAGATACTATTAAAGTTGTTTTTATAATTTGATGAGGAGCAGGGTTATAAGTAAAAACAATAATTGATTATTAAATCTGCTATATAAAGGGATTATGGTCCCCAAGAAATAAGCATTCTCTTATTTACTCTTATCCCCGTCATAGAGTTTACACTTAAGAAAACTCTATATTCTTGAAAAATCACGACCAAAGATATGCTACGGAACTCTATCTTCTTGAAAAATCACAACTAAATATATATTCAAGGATTTCAACCTATCAATTAATTCATGTATGTTTATGCAAATCTTGTATTTACAATTCTTGATGGTTTGACGTGATTGGATACTGATTGTGTTTTATATTTATTATGGTTTGGTTCTAACAGATGGTTTCATCACCAGATCGTGTTGAATAATTGAGAATGAATTTATTTTCTTTTATTTTTTTGGATTGCTTCCTTGTATTTAGGGTTTTATCGGCATAATCCTAATTCTATTATTTGGATTTTATAATGCATGCATAACTTACCATTAAGCAATTAATTTTCTTTTGATAATTGTGCCGCATCATGCTTTCGCTTTGTAATTTTTAGATGCGTTAATTATTATTGTTATTTATGCTATGTTAATTGAAGGGTTCATATTATATAAAATTGGATTCCTAATTTTTGGAATTCCCCCCCCCCTTTGTTATCGATGAATTACTCTATCTCGGCTGCATCGTAATGTCGTTGAGATTTAATATTAAAGACAATGCATATGATACTTTTCAGTGTTATTAAATTTCAATTTTTGACAGCTCGTCAATAGCATAAATTTTAAAGTGTGAAATTATTGATTTCTCCATGACATTTGTGTGGCTTCTTTAATAATTTTATATTGTAACGCATGCATACATTTGTTTTGCTTCACATGAATAATGTGTGGTTTTAACCCACAATTCATCAATTGGTAGATTAGCCAACTCCTTTAAATGATTCTCATTATCATTTTTAGTTTTTCACCCTTCTGATCTTTTGTAATCGGCTTGTATTGTCGTGATTCAATGTCGTTGAACATTTTTTCTGGGGTTTCTTTTGAAAATATTATGGAAATTGATGGTTTTTGCTTCTCATGTTTATATGTAATTGCCTTGAATAATATTATGATGATATGTAATCTATTCCATCTCTTTGTTATCATCATTTGTTGGAACCGTCTTTCGGTTGGGCCCCGGAATTGGGCTTCGACTTAGGAAAAATGAATTGGAGTCGCCACCGATCATTTATTTTAAACAAAATGGGTTGACAGGATACCTTATTTCTTACATGATCTATGTCTTTCTAAAGATGTGTCGGATTCGGGAGTCGGTTACAGTCAAGGAAGGGTTAGCACCCTTGAACTGCCCTTTCGGTACTACGTAATTTCCAGTTGTCTTAAATTAAGAACATGATAATTTAAACTAAAAAGGCAAAATAACGATCCGAAATTTACCCCTGATTGATTGGATGGAAACCCTTAAGCAGTTGAAAAAATATTAGATTTATAAAGTAAAAAGGAAAAGAATGCACATTACGAAAAGGTACTTCAGACACAATAAAAGAAAAAGCAGACAAACAGAAAAAACGACCATATTAAAAAAAAAGGATTAAGAAGAATATCAATATAAAATAAATATATATATATATATACATAAAATGCATAAAGTAAAGAAGATAATGATAATAACAATGTAAAAAAAAACTAAAATAAAAGAATTGAAGATAAAATGAAATATATAATAATAAATATATATAAAACATATAATAATAGTAATAAAATATATAAATAATAATGATAATAAAGTCAAAAGAATAATGAAAAAATATAGTAAAAAAGAAATAAAATAATAATAGTATAATAAAAATAAAAATAGAAAAGTAATATAAATAATTAAATCTATATGCATATAAAATATAAAATATAAAAAAAAGAATTACATAAGAGAAAATATATAAAAGTAATAAAAATAGAAGAGAAAAAAAAAACTAAAAGATATAATTAAATATACATAATAAAAGGGGCTAAAATAAAATAAGAACTAAATTGGGGGCCAAATTGAGAGACCAATACTGTTAAAATCGAACTCAGGGGGATCAAAATAAAATAAGTAAAACAACTGGAGGGACTGAAAGAAGGATTTACCCATTCTGGGTTCAAAACGCTCGGGTCGGGGGTGACAATCAAGGTAACACGCGGGCTTACGGGTCGGCTTAATGGGTTGTATATAACCCAAACACCATAAACACATTTCATTGCATCCTTTAAGCCCAAACAGATCAAACACCCCCACCCTCGTTTTCTCTGTATTGTTCGAAGAACACCCGTCTTGGTTTTCCAGAATATGATGGTGGCGCCGCCTCGCAAAAAATACTTTTCCGAAAGCTCTCCCCCTCCTCTTTTAAAAAATCAAATTGGTTTTTTCAAAATCGTCTTGGGGTCGCGTAGATCTGGAGAAGAAGTTTCGAAGAAAAATAAAAATAAAAAATAAATGAAGGGCCTCCCTCTGATCCTCGGCAATACGAGTTTTAAATCAAGAAAAATTGTCATGCAAGCAACCAAGAACGAAAAAATAAGGTAAAAACACTACCTTTATTTCCTTTTAAACGTTGTACAAAGATTCGACTTGCTTCTCTGTATTTTCTAGTATAAATTTGTGATATTCGTGTAAAAACTCCCCCTATGATATTGTGTTACATCTTTATTATAGTGAAAAAGAAAAACTATTTTTTTAGCATCCTATTTGAACTAAAATTCTGATGTTTGTTGGTTGCTCTTGTGGTGGACGAGCCTTCCTTGCATCGAAGGATTCGGGTTGCTGGAGTGTTGTCGTGAAAAACGGGGTTGTTGAGAGGTGTGCGATCGTGGAGAATGAAAAACGTGGCATGCGGCGCTGACTTGGAACGGAAGAGCTAGGATTTTGGAAACCCTTGTTTTCCAATTCGGGCTGTGCGTTTGGGTCACTGCTGGCTATGTATTTCAGTTTCATTGGGCCTGACACAATGTAAATAAAATGGTATAAATAAACG